TAGGATATGATCCGTGTTCAATAATCATATATCCCTGTTGCTTATACATTGTATTATTAAAGACAATATAGTAATCAAATAATGACACCTAATTGAATTCCAAAAATTTATAAATACACATATTTACAGAGCTAAAATAGTTACCCTCATTTAAAGAAGACATTGGTAACATCAATTAAGACACTGGGTGTGATTTAAAAAAATACCGTTTAAAAAAATAAGAATGTTGTTATAAAAAAAGGCAGTTAGAAGTCGTATTAAAAAATGTTACTATTCTAAATTGTATACGTGACATTAGTGAAATTAATTGGGAGGTTGGGGATATGGGGGCAGGTCCAATAGTTGTAGCAAATTAACACCAAATTATCTGTTGGATAGTTGTCTCAATGGCAATTCTACCACATCTCATTATTTTATACTTTTGAGCAAAAAAGTAGAACTTCACCTGTATATTTTTCTTAATAATGTCTAGTATGTATTTTTTCCGATAGTATAATCATAACATCTTCTGTTATCCGGCTTCAATGTCGAACAAACGGTTATGTCAAAAATTTATTTTTACGTCTCAGGTCATTTTTTGTTCTCTTCGCGTATAAGCCATGTTGCTCTATATATATTTAGTGCAAAAATATATATCAAAGAAAACGATTGGGAATTAAAATAACACAATTTTTTAGTAGTGTAATGGTTAAACTGCAGGATAAAACAGGATATGTACATTGTCGGAAATTATAAAAAAAAGTATTTGTACTCACTACGAAACCGGAGAAAATCTCGGCGAGACTCGTTTTTCCTCTCGTTTTTAAATTTCATACAAATTAAATTTTACATTTTTCGACAATGTACATGTATCAGTGCCTGTTCCAAGAAAGAGTCAGTGATTGATGTTACTCTTTATCATATTTGTCATTCGAATATTGTTTTGTACAGTTTGTTAATTCTTGTGTTGTGCTGTAACATTTGTGTCCCAGATTAAGGGAGAAAAAGAGGCACCCAATAACATGTTTAACTTCACCTCATTATGCATGTGCATGTCCCAAGTCATGTTATTCAGTGGTTCTCGTTTGCTGTTGTATATCATACTTGATTTTAATTGTTTTGTACATACGTCAGGCCGTTAGTTTTCTCATTTGAGTTGTTTTGCATTTTAATGTTGGAGCCTTTTATAGCTTGTTGTACGGTATTGGTTTTGTTCATTGTTGACTGCCTTACTGTCACCCATAGTTCTACGTCATTTAATCCATTGTGAAAAAATCTCTAATAGGAAACTATGCCACATCTTTTTATTTTTTATATATATTGTATATAAGTATGCAGAGAAAACAAATATAGGAACAAGACTTTGACATAAAAGTTTTTTTTCAATTTCTAAAAGCAAGCTCAAAGAAAATCTCATAGATAATGAACATTGAGTTAGATCATGTCTTTTTCATATATTTATACAATACTTTGTGTACAGTCATTCTGAAATCTGTGTGATGAATCGAAAAAAAGGATTACCTTTAATTACACGAAATGAATTACACATCACCTATAATTTGTACATGCTTATCGCCTAACCCCCTCCTTCGTCATATCTTAGCGTTATCCGGAAATAATTAACCCCAAAAAGCATTTTGTATTTAAATAAAAAAAAAAGGGTCATGCTTCTCTGCTTATAGCGATCAAACGTAAAATTATTTATCATTAATACACAATTAAAAAATCAAATTTATAATACAAATTTCTATAATGTCAATCAAATTATTAATAAACTTCTAAGACATTGAAAATAATTATCAACAATAAACGTTATGTTTTCCAAATAGTATGGACCATATAGTGTTAAAAAATAATGCTTTATTTGTCCTTAGAATATAGCAAAGTGCTCTCGGCCAATGAAATTGTAGGATTTGGTGTCTCTTAGTTGTGAAGAATGAATGTAAATCATGTTCTTAGTAAGGGATTATCCTATTATTTGGGTCTATTTACATTTCAAAACAAAGAGTTTCTATAAATGAATAACAACTACCCCGAAGCACATTTATCAGATTGAAAGAATTTGTGATTGAAACTGACTAAAAGTTGAATTGTGAAACAAACAAAAAAATCAAAATAAGTTGAAGTTTACTGGTGCAGTAAAAGTTGTAACTTTAATGTAATTATGAAAATATTTATTACTTCAAATTACTAAAAAAAAAATAAAAAAAAATAAACGATATCACAGCAATGCAAAAAAAAAGAGAAAAAAAGTTTTAAAATAAAAAAGAACCTAAATCTTTAGCTTTCCGAAACTCTAATTACTAAACCAGCGGTTTGGAAGCATAGTTATTTCCAATATTCCGATAAAATAAACAAAAACAAAAAACAGGAATTTGATTTAAGTTTTTAATATATTTAAAACTTTTAAAGGCATTTAATTACAACATTTTCCTGACATAATGAAATAGTATTTGATTTAAAAAGCCGGACCAAAATATTGGCTGTGAAATAAAATTAGTTGTAACTCAAATGCATTTATTGATTTAAACTGTAAAAAAAAGATAATTCCTCTTATACCTGTCCATATTGACAACTGCATACAAGGAGCATGATGTATTTTTTTTGTGATAAGAATGCACGGAACGGTCTACCTTGAACTTCTGATCCATATTAGCACCAGGATTTAACGGGAATATGCAAAACAGCAACTTTGACATTTGTAAAATCTACTCACTTGTCAAAGTTTGAAAGAACATAGCCAAAGTAAGGTTACTTACTAGTGGGGTTTCATGTAAAAAAAAAATTTTCTTATAATTCATGGTTCGATTTTGTCAATAAATATGCTATCCGTTCTTTTTCATTTAATAATCAAGGTTAACAAATATATAGGGTTTAGCATTGGGTGTAAGTTAGTTATACACCTCGGGATACGGCGTGTCTGGATAAGAAACCCCTCCGGCGTTTCTTATCCAGACACACCTATCCCTCGGTGTATAACTATTACAGAATGAATGTAATTCATATACTAAGTACAGCAAGTCTTTTTACAAATAACCACATCCACGAAATATAGAAATAGACTTCGACGCAGTAACTTGTTCTAGACCGTCACATATACCCATCTCAGTCAATTCACGTACGTAATTCATATATATGACTATGCAAATAGTCTCATTACTTTAAAACATACTTCACATGTATTCAAGTCTGTGTGATATAGAGGTTGATATAATAAATGTTTATGAAGGTGTCCCAAAATAAATATAAGGGTATTTTCGGCGAATCTACTGTGGTGAAAGTCGAAATTGTTCATGACAACAGTGTCCCCGGTACGTAAGCAATATTTTCCAAATCAATCTAATTCATGTAAAGTATTAGAAAAAAAGTCAACGAGATGAAATCCATTTGAAGGTCCACCTAAAATATTGAAATATTCTATTCCAAATGGCCCATGAAGGAGGTTTTCCGTGTGGGTGGCATTGGAAGCATATTTGTGTACCTCTAAAGCCTTTCCCTCTACTGTTGAATGTCCGTAAAGTCTATTTCTAGATGAAAACTCCATATCGATGAAAAGAATATGTTAGTCCATTATGAACGTCTGTATACTAGTATCTTTATGCCAAGGTCATATATAAAATAACGTGAAATTAGCATATATAGTTTATTATCTATCCGTACACGTCCGTCATTCGTCATTGTCGTCTTATTTGACAAAGTGCACTTTATGTAGTAAACTGTATCTTTCATGGATCAGAATAACCTTTGTCCTTTCGATTATGGTATACTTATATATTTCAATTTGTTGCATTGTTTCTTTGGAAGACATATATAAAATAAGGAGAAGTGGTATGATTGCCAATGAGAAAACTGAGGGGACAACCAGTTGTTATTTTAAGGGGAACTAGGTGGATTTTTTTCTGAGGGAAATTAATTTTCAACTACGGTTTTGACGTATAAACATTACTTTTTACTTTTGTACACCTTAATTTACTGCATTGTGTTGGGTAAAATGTGAATTTTCATTCTGTTTGGGCGAGGTTATTTATTTTTTAAGTCCTAACCAGGCCAGACTATTAATTTTCACAATTCTGCTCCCCCTCCTCAGAATATCAAGTAGTCGTCCCCTTACATACAGAGTCAAGATAAAGGTGATTACAGCATAGGTAATCATACGGCCTACAACATTATTAGCAAACCCGATAGCCTGTAGTCAGTTATTAAAGGCCCGACATGACAAAATGTGAAACAATTCAAACGAAAAAATCAACGCGAAACAAACATGCCTTCAGAGTTACATGTGATCCATTAGCAAACGAGATTAGGCAACAAAGAGTAATCAAGTAATTGATGAGCTTTATACACCAAACAAACTAATTTCCCGGTATTCGAAGCGTTACTAAATAGTTTTCTTAAGAATTCATTGGGGGTACAAAGGACAATAATAGACAATCAAGTAGTAGAGAAGACAGTCGAGCAGACTACAAACAAGACTAGTAGTGAGATTTGTCATGGTTATTGTAAATTGGGTGTAATTTACACTGACAATGGAACTAATTCCTGAATACAACCAATCAAGAGACCATTTGAGACTTGAGCACTTGTATCTTTCGTCCCTCTTTTACAATATTCTAAGTTTGTAAGAGAATGATAATCCCTTACTTCTCGCTAACGCTAACGCTCGTACTTAATCATGAAGAAAGGGATTATCATTCTCTTACATATACTAGTTGAATGTCGACTTCTCAATAACAAAGTCCTGTACTTTATTATAATATAATCAATGTGCACTCATGAATAACGTTAACAAAATCCTGAATTTTATTACAAATATAATTCACAGCATGAAGCTTTCTACTATACTCTTCCTGTTTAAAACATCACGACAGTCATGATAACTTTTCATTAGTGCAGAGGATGGACTGATTTTAAAATTTGTCATCATTTGATTGGATACAAATGATATAGAATTTTGTTATTTTGCCACATAATGAACAATAAAGTATATAAACCAAAATTTAAACAAATGTTATAACACGTTCAATTTTGCAGAAAACAACGTTCAAATATTTGATCAGTTACTTGGAGTGAAATGAAGATTCAGTTTGTTGTTGCGTTACTTTGCTTGGTGATATTTCTACATTCTGAAGGTAAGTGTTTCATTGGAACTATTTTTTATTAGATTGTCACAAAGATAATTCTGATCTTAGTGAAACTGTAACAACTTTCATCTAGGAAAAGGAAGGAGACACAGTCAAAACTAACCATTGTAATTTGTAATCCATAAAAACTTGCATGTGATTGTTTAATTAAAAAAAAACACCGTTTGTATAATATTTTCCAAAATCGTTAGTTTTTTTCATTAAAAAATAATTACGGGGACACAGATCAGCTAACTTAATGTTACAATATTCCTATCCATTTATCAATTTCTTCATGTAGCAAGAAACCAAAATGTGTGACTCCATTAACATTTTTTTTAACAAAAAGGTCTAATGTTTTATTTCAAATCATATGTTATTTTTGCATTCCTTCTATTGACATCATATTGTTTTTCTCTTGTATGAACATTATACAATTATGGCCTCCATAAAAATCTAATATCCAAAATTATTAAATTGAGGAAAGGTTATTTTCTTCGAGGTGCGTAGGACCGAGGGAAAATAATCTTTTCGAGATTTAATAATTTTGGATATTCACTTTTCGTGAAGGACATAACTGTATTATTATAGGTTCGATCTATGAGTTTGACTGTCCCTCTGGTATCTTTCGTCCCTCTTTTATACTGAACTTAATACAAATATATAATTATTGTTTATAAATCTTAAGGCGGTCGCCATATTTTCTAGACGTCAACAAACAGTATGACGTCACTAGCTAGTTGTTTTTTTGGCATGCAAATGTACACGGATATTCGCGAAGAGTTATTTTGCCTACGCGCATATTCCCGAACAGTTATTTTGCCTACGCGCATATTCCTGAACAGTTATGTTTCCTACGCGTATATTCCCAAACAGTTATTGTGCCTACGCGCAATCTGCCGTGGGAAAAAGGGCTTATTCTTCTTGAATGAATAACAAAATACATTAATATCTTAATTATTTTATTAGCGGTTACTGTAGTATAGTATAATGATACAAAATGTTACAATTTTTTAAAAACAAACTTGATACATAATCCGTTATTGTGTTGGTTGACAAATACCCTCAACAGCAATTTTGGAAATGATTTGACAAAAATAGATTTTGGCACTCTTTCAGTCCCGTACTGCAATGTTTCACCTTACATTTTAACACCTGTAAGTTGTCTTCAAGAACAAAAAACTCACGGGTAGCGTCATGTTGATCCTGAGTAAGCTTTACGTAAAGAATTAACCAATTTGTTAAGCAGGAAATCACTTTTAATCCCGTTGGGTTATTTGTTTTTTTCTAAAATTATTTATAGGCAAACACCAAGACAATGGTCACTACAAAACCAAGGCCAAAGGACACAATCACGAAAATTACAAAAGCAAAGGCCATCCACCAAAGAAGTGTGAAGGTATGTTTCCAATAGAGTATGTGCTTTATCATTAATAAGTACCTTTGTTTTATCAAGTTGAGCTACAGAAATAACTTTAATAAACACGACTATTTTGGTATTTTCACCACAAATTAGTTAAAACCTTCACGTAATTCTTTCATATACGAATATTTGTTTTAGAAGTTTGGTTACAAATGGGACATCACATCCTATTTTTTACAGTGATGTTGTGTATAGAGCCATACAATCCATTTAAACGTATTGGTCCTTTAAATAAACTTATTTTGAAAGGTTTTCATAATTCAATAATGTAGTAAGATCCTCGAATATTGTCTTTATTTGTAATATTATTGATTGTGTAATTAATTAATTAGAACAAACAGGCGGAAGATAACAAGGGGACATTCAACCCTCACAAATCGAAAAAAAAAAAAAAAATTACAACGCCTTAGCAAAAAAACGAAAAACGACGAAAAGACTTACAAATCCGCTCAATACTACATAGAAAACAAAAATGTTGAGAAACACGAACCACATAAAAAACCGGAGTTGGAATCAGTTTCTCCGTAGGGTAAGCAGTTCCTGTTCAACATATAACACCCTTTGTGTAGCTTATTCCAGTACAAACTAGGTGACCAGTCTTATTCAGTGAGGTCACAGGCGAGGAAAATAACATGACTTAAATGTATTACTATACCGTTATGAACTTTATTGTCCTAGGTCTACATCCTGTCAATACTTATATTTTGACATTGCACAAGGTCGTACTTATCTCAGACTGTTTATGACGTCCTTACATTAAGGATTTAATGTCAACTGTTTGATATTTAAGTCTGGGAAACATGATTTATTTTAGGTGTAATTGGCGTTGAATAAATTTTCAGTAACTGCTAGTACTCTTAGATCGGAAATTGGTGTCTTTTAGTCTTTTTGTCAGTTCGTTTTGTTTTACTTCCTGCCGATCTGATGAGTTAATCCCTTTCAAACTGATTTTTACCGTTTGTTCTTCTGCTGTTACACGACCCACCCATTAAAAAAGGGGTGGGGAGTGATCGTTAACAAATAGGTTAAACCCTGTCACATTCTGTAGGTGCCCATCCCAAGTCTGGCGCCTGTAATTCAGTGATTGTAGTTGATTGCTGTCAGTTTTTTTTGTGTATCATAAATTATTCCATTGTTTTTTTTCGTTAGATTTGTTTTCCATTTTGTCATGTCAAGGTCTTTTGTAGCTTATATTACGGTATGTGTTTTGCTCATTGACCGTACAATGACTATTAGCTGCTACATCCACATCTTTTAGTCACTGGTGGATAGTTGTCAAATTGGCAATCATATCACATCTCCGTATTTCCATGTAGATAACAAAAAGGTAAAAGAAACAATTTTATGGGGCCCTTTATAGCTTGCTGTTCGGTGTGAGCCAATGCTCCGTGTTGAAGTCCGTACCTTGACCTTTAATGGTTTACTTTTATAAATTGTAACTTGGATGGAGAGTTGTATCATTGGCACTCATACCACATCTTCCTTTATCTACTTAGAAGGTTGTTTAACTAGTGAAGTGGAGAGTCTCAATAAAACTTTGAATTGTATATCCATACCTCATATCTCATGCATAATACACATATTGCCTTTAAAACAATTCTGAATAATGACTCAGAACATAATTCAATGAAAGAAGACTCACCAGATTCGTTATGAAGTGTGTCCCAATTCACAAGAAAGAAGAATCTAACTAGATGTAGTACACTTTTTGTAAAAATGATAATCAGAAATTGTATTAAAAAATAAATTCATGGTTCATTTTGTTTTATAGCACCTTGTAAAACTCTTCCAACGACATGTCCAGTGGGATACTCAAAACTAACTAATCAAAGAATAAGCCCAAATTGTTACCTATTCGGAGGGGATAGAATAGTAAAGTGGTATGCTGCTCTTGTGAGTTTGTCAAATAACATCCTATTAACTGAGGATCACTTTAATATTCAAACTGACTCTCTTTATGGTTTTATAAACCAGATATAAACGAATGTAATTTGCTGCACAATTGCACAGAAAATGCATATTCAAGAAAAGTCTAAAAAATTATCTATAATTAATGCATATGTATAGCAATGGAAGCTTAATGTTTAAAGGAGTCTATTTCTAACTTTTCTACTGTGCATTACTTTGACAAAGTAAGAAAAATGCTTCACAAGAATCATTAATGGGTACCATATTCTGACTGACAACAACTAGTAATCACATCCAGGTGGCTTTGTATATTTATAGAGTATTGTTTGTGTTTAACCCTATTCCAATAATGTTGGTCAATTTAGATGGCCATGCGAGTTGGGGTAGTCAAATATTATGCACAAAAGAAGGGGTAATCGCTTAAATTTTTCTTTAGTAGCAATTATTTACGAAATTTTGTTTTCTTTTTTGCGTATTTGACAATGTTTGAAGACATTTTGGGTTACTCTTTAAGAGAATCAAAAATGATTGTTTAACAAACAGCTTAATAGTCATTATTACTTCAGGTGGTTTTTCGGAATTTTGTATCGATCGTTTTTTTTTTCTATTTTGAGAAATAATAGTGACAATATTTTAAGTACTTGGTTTGATTTGGAGTCTTAACGAGTAATTAAAAAGTTAACATCATTGAAATGTCTGCACACACTATGCTTTTTTGTAACTGTAAAGTTATGTTCATTATTTTCAAACATGATTTTAATGGTAATATCACATTATTTTAAATCAAGGAATATATCTCCGTCATGCAACGCTCTGATTCCTTGCCCGACTTTGACTATACTTTGAATTGTTTTACATTGTCATTTCGGGGCATTTTATAGCTGACTGTGCGGTATGGGCTTTGCTCATTGTTGAAGGCCGTACGGTGACCAATAGTTGTTAATTTCTGTGTCATATGGTCTCTTGTGGAGAGTTGTCTCATTGTCAATCATACCACATCTTCTTTTTTATATTGTTTGACTTTTTGATTTACAAGCTCATTTTTTTAATAAGCTTTGGATTTTAAATGTACTTGACGTCCTTAAAAGGACAGGCCTTTGTTAAGGTTTTGCATCTGCTGGAAAACAGAATTATCCTGTTGATTTTAAATGTGCCGATCTCGTTTTTTCAGGAAAGATGCATTAGTACTCCTGGTGCCTACCTGTGGATTCCAGAAACAATAGAAGAGGCTGAAGCAATTAGAGACAAATTTAACATTGGTTAATTATTTCCAATATTTCTTTCACATGCATTTTTGACAAAATAATAATGTTATACAACTTTCAGTGTGCAACATAGCGAACACTTATTATTCATTTGAATCCCTCAAGATAAAACAAAAGAATACCAAATACATAAAACATTATGAAAAAAAGTTACCCTGCATTGTGTTGTAAACATCTTAATAGATAAATTTTTGTTTACTTTTCTTATTATTTCTGGGACAAAAATGGTCTCATCATTCTCCAAATGAAAAAAAACAAATGAAAAAGAACAGACCTTTTTACACTCTGTTCTCATTAATAAAATGTATCATTTTAATCAACAAGTAATGAGGTAAAGCTACAAGACAGATAACATTTATTTGTAAATAATTTTTTTATTTTATAATGAAATTCATTATTTTTCATGCTTTGATTAATAATAATCATCAAATTTATCATGAGCCAACACAAATATGACAACAACAAATCAAATAAATAAACAAACAAAAAGTTATGTAAATTAAGATGTTAATTTACTGTTTTCAAATATGTTCTTTTCAATCTTATATAGAAATGTTCATTTATTTTTTTTTAATGTGGTATCATAAAACTGTCTGAATCGATTTTATTAAAAATGTCTGTTTCTAATTCTATTAACAAATATTTAGTAATTCATATTTCGTAATAAAGTTAAATATGTAAAGTCAATGATAAATACATGTTTCAAATCATATTTCATAATAGATATATGGATGCCTCCTTTTTGTAAACGATTATATGTTGCCATTCTGATTTTCTTATGTAGTTGACAATGACATTGACGTATTTGTTGGAGGAAACAATCTAGCTGATAATGATACATATGTGTATGCAGTAACCAATGACCCATTTGATTTTGACAACCTTCCATTTGGAGAAAGTATGTATATTTGCTATTTAAATAAATATTATATAATGAATTAAAATAACTATACTGTTAGTTCAAACATTGGATTGAAAAAGTTATTGATAAGTCAAAGATTTTGATATTGATATTAACTGGTTGGTAAGAATTTGGACATATTTTATTTTAATTATACTTTGCTGATATAACCGTTGGAATTGAGAGATTTGGTCCTTCTCAAATATTTGCATCGTCATATTTTAGGTGTGGAACTATCTAAAAGATAATTTAAGGAAAATCTAATCAATGATTTGGGACAGGTACATAAAGAATGTGACGGAAGTAAACTATTTTGTGAGCTCTCAATCCTCCACATAACATATCTTCTCGTGCACTCTTGGTTTGACCGTCTTGTAATGTACTGAATCTGAAAACTTGTTTGTACAATTTCAGATCTAAATACATGACATTATCGATTCAATTTTGAATATATACACAAGAAAAAATATAAAAAGAAAAATGAGTGTTCATATGTATATATATATATATATGTGTGTGTGTCAATATGAAAAAAGTGTCCTTCTCAACATTTTATTTTCATTTCTAACTTTTATTTCAGTAAAAGATACACCGGAAACCGTTGAAGGATGCATGGAACTGGAATTTAATAATGAAGGGATACCTAATTTTGGGTGGGATTCAGATCCTTGTTCTTCTGAAGAAGAGGCATATATTTGCGAGTTTCCAATTGTAAGTTTAACTGTTAAATAAAAATATACAAAACACTGTTTTAGGATTTTCACTATTTCTTATACATAAACTGGTGAAACTCTGTGCACCTTTATATACTTAATAAGTAAATGATATGAAACTAATTTCCTAAATTACAGAACAATACACTGAACGGTTAAAATCGGATTTAGATTTCTGTATAAGCAAGTCCGGACGTCTATATGAGTGTAATTCTTGGTCCTTCAGATATTTAACTATAATTTACCGGCTTTACAATAATGATTTTGGATTGGTAATCCCATATTGTAGCCTATGTAGATTAATATCTTTGATTTGTAGTCCCATTATGTAGCCTAAATAGATCAATAACATTGATTGGTAATCCCATACTGAAGCCTAAGTAGATTAATAACATTGATTGGTAATCCCATACTGTAGCCTAAGTAGATTAATATATTTGATTGGTAATCCCATACTGTAGCCTAAGTAGATTAATATATTTGATTGTTAGTCCACTACTGTAGCCTAAGTAGATTAATATATTTGATTGGTATTCCCATATTGGAGCCTAAATAGATTAATATCTTTGATTGGTAATCCCATACTGTAGCCTAAGTAGATTAATAACATTGATTGGTAATCCCATACTGTAGCCAAAGTAGATTAATATTTTTGATTGGTAGTCCCATAGTAGACTAAGTAGATTAATATCTTTGATTGGTAATCTCATACAGTAGCATAAGTAGATTAATAACCTTGATTGGTACTCCCATACTGTAGACTAAGTAGATTAATATCTTTGATTGGTAATCCCAAACTGCAGCCTATTTATAACATTCATTCAAATCTTTATCACAATAAAGAAAAGTATTGACACAATTTACATAAAAAAATGATGTCTTAAATTTTAGGAAGATTTTGTATGGACGTTTGAGGTAGACATGAAGATATTTTACCGACGGTTTTCAAAATACAATACTGACTTATTAACATGAGATTATAATATCTCTTTCTCTGCTGTCTAGTTACTATTGTTTAAAGTTTGCTAAAACATGGGTTCTTTTGTTAATTTGGGTCTAATAAAAGTGTGGAAATATGCAGATACCTTTAATTACTGACTAAATATTAATTGATTTACATTTTTTTATTTGCTTATTTAATTTAATTTTTCATTTATTTAAACAAAAATAAGTAGTCTTTCTCAAAAATGACTTGATTATGAGTTTCATTTCATTATTCCTTTGAAATACTTTTATTGTAAAAATATTGAAATAATGTTTTTTTTATGCGAAAGTGGTAATTAAAGCTTGTTTTCTTTTTACAGGCACCTTTGTGTTAGCTGTGCAGTGCAATGAAGAGTACAATACAAAGTTATTGAATAAAACAATATAAAATTACTATATTCATTTATTCAAAATGGCTGAGATTGACCTGCAGTATTGACCACTGCTGTATTATTATTGAAATCAAATTCAAACATTTACAACGGATAGATTTTAAGATATATATATCCATATATTGTTTCACTGAAAGAGCGTTGGAAGATACCAAAGGGACATTCAAACCCTAAGTCGAAAATAAACTGACAACGCCATGGCTAAAAATAAGACCAACAGACAAACAGTTCACAAAACACAACATAAAAAGATATTCTGTAATGGTCAACCAACTCAGTATGGCGTCCGTAAAATTTACGTAGGGATAATTTCAGCTTCACAACTAGGAACTCTTGGTTTAATAGCTTCCTCGTTAGCAGCAAACCTCTATCAAGGAAATCATGATAGGAAATACAAGCCCAGGAATATCGTATCAACTGGGAGATATTTACCCCCGAATGCAGGCGCTGCTGAAATGTTGCTACATAGAAATGGAAAGTTCACAGTTGGGAAGCTGAACTAATCTATTTTGTCGTAAAGTTTTGTTTTCAACCGACCCTCATTGTCAACTTCTAGATGTAAGTCAAGATATGAGGCAGACTTAACTGTATCATTCTGCTGTATCCTTAATCTCAAAATCGATGGGATAGTTCAACATAGTCACCAAATTTTGAATTAATTAGTGAGGGAACCTCATCTATATAGCGGAAATTGAAGTTAGAGGGTACTGCTCACTTCTTTTCTTTCTTACTAAGAAGTTCCTGTATGAAGTCAGCCTCATACGAATAAAGGAACAAGACGACAAAAAGAGGATCACAGTAGGCTCCCATGGGAATGCCGATTGTTTGTTGAAAAACACGTCCTACAAACGTAACACATATGTTGTCAATCAAGAAATCAAGCATCTTGATAATGTCAGTTACAGAGAAGTTTTCGTTTGAATAGGAGTTATTTTTTACAAAGTACGATTTATCCCTCTGTAGGACAAGATACTTGTATCTACGTTGGTCATTCTTTTTTATGAAACAAAAAAGGACCAGATATATGAAATAATTGCTAACTCATTTGTGTTGTTACCTCACTGTTTTTGTAACCTACAGATGCTTTCTTGGAATAATCCCTGTAGAAAGATTTCTTCTCCCAGAATGCTCCAAAATCAGTCAAAGAAAGAAAAATGTATTATACAATTTCATGCTTGACATCTCTTTGTTTTGTAATAAAAATGTCTACAGTGAATGCATGGGCCTATCATCCAAAGTCGGGAGTCTGTTTTTCAATGGTCGTCGTTTATTTCCAATTGTTCTTTTGTACTTCAATCAGGCCGTTAGTTTTCTTATTTTAATTGTTTTATATTTTTATAAGTCGTGACTTTTTATAGCTTGACTTGCGATATTATTGAAGGCCGTACGGCTACCAATATATGTGTAATCTTATATGTAGATGTAGAAGACCACAGGGCGGATTAACTGTTTTGTTTACTGTGTTACATTCCGAAAATAAAGAATTTATTATAAATATACTTGTCATTTGGTCTCTGGTGAAAAGTTTTTTCATTGACAATCATACCTCATCTCCTTGTTTTATACTTTTCCCAGGTTTTGAATAGATAATATTTGCCTTAGGAGACTCTGTTGACACCTTTCTTACTTGTCTAGGATTGCCGAAGGTCGGTGGTTCTCTACAGGTACTCCGGCCTCATTCATGAATATTATCTGACCGCAACGATATAGCTAATAGTACTGAAAGTGGCGTTAAACGCCAACAATCATGCAATCAATCATAATTGTGGAATCTGCAGAAGATTTTTAAATAGTTAACACAAGCAACTTTAAAGGAACGAATAAGAATGGGTACGATGTATTACATATAATTCATAATGCATATTCTTAAACACACTTGAAAAAACAACGAGCAACGTTTTATTGATGTTTCCAAGTCATAGAAACAATTATGTCGTCCAACAGGGACGAAATACTAAAGTGTAGATCGGTCCCTTTCACTGACTGAGAGGAACAGTTTTCTGGAATTACATATTATCCCACATATGTGCATTTAGGCACACATATATTGGGTAATATTGACAAAGCACTCAAGAAAGGACTAAGATATAAAAAGAAATGTTTTATTTTTGCTGGTAAATTGCATGGTAAAATACAGAAACAATATTAAGACATACATGGGAATGCCAAGCAATTTGTTGCATACTATGCAAGAAATAAATGAATTACGCAAATAATAAGTATGAACTCTATAATTTTGTAATAAAACATATAGACCGAAAGAATAAAAAGGTGATTAATGTTAAATACTTGCATCAGGGCATACACCTTATGCACGGGCAAACTCTTAACATAAACCCAAATTGTTTGAAAAGATGGTTTTTAATAGTTTCAGAGACCGGATGGACGGATGATATTTCTATGTCCCCTGCAACACGTCGCGTGGGAGACAATAATATTCCAATACTTAAAGCATCTGGAATGAAATACACATGTTGGAAAAATTTTTTTTATCGTTTTTCTTTGCGATGGTATTTTGACCCCCGCCACCTTATGTCATAATTTAAAACTATCAAAGTGTATAAACTACATTTAATGTATCTTGTTATAACCCGATTATGTGGAATTAAAACATGTTGGAAAAGGTTTTAAAAAACATTTTCTCAGCCATGGAAAATTCACCCCCCTGTTGCTTTGGGTTGAGTAAGGAGTTTTTGTATTTTGACCATCTGAAATTGAAGTTTTGTTTTCTCTCCTATTTGCATTGAAAATGTAGAATGTTACTAGATGAACATACATATAAAAGAAGAAATAGGGGGTCAATGTTTAATGGGGTAACATTTTCTACAGCACTTTATAACACAAGGAATCAATTTAGAAAAGCATATTATATATATTCATCAACTTTCATTGTTATCCTAATGCAGAAAGATTTTCCTCAAAACTTTGTACATTTTTAACGACACTAAACTGCAATTATCTCATGATTTTTTTTATCATTAAAAACTAAATTACCTAATTTCCACCCCAAAAAATAAGATTTTTTTTATTAAGCAATGCTCAGGCACATAACGTCACAATACCCAAATTGAACCCATTTAGCAGAAATAGCAGTGGAAATCGTAGTACTACACGTTTTCTTAGAAACTAACAAATTTGCATTTTTATGATTTGACATTTTGCACGTCTTTATACATAGCTAAATATATCTAAATATACACAAAACATTCACAGTATATATCAACAGATGAAGTATTCACAGAAAAAAGTTAAATCTACGGAAACGTCACCATGCGAAGTTCACAAAAAGTTAACTTTTTGTCAGCTAATGTTCCTAGACACAGATAACAACGAGAAAACCTTGTATAAATGACCTAGATCAAAGAGTCTGAGCTATGTTTGCTGTTAATAAAACACAAGTTGAGTAAAATGTCATTTATTCAGAAATTAATTTAAAATGCAACTTACATCTTAACAATTATAATAGTACTGCATAAATGACAATGACTTTAATAAGCAAAGGTAGGGTTGAAAAAGTGCCACACCCTAACATAATAAACATCATAAAAATGACAAAAATAAAAGTGAGTTGAAAAAATTAACTCACCAACATATATATATATACAAAGTATATAAACACTACAATGAATATTGTCCTTAATTGATGTTTAAAGAAAAATAAATGTCCTATATAATAAAGCTAAAAAGGGAGGGAAATGGGAGGGTTTTCAGATAAAATTCAAAAACGATCTTTTCTCTCTCCCAAAACAAAGGCGAATGACCGCATGTCCGAGCACATGTAGAAATTTGATATTAATTACCGATCTCAAAAACTGACCAATCAGATAATGTAATTAGATGATCATGCATTGAACATGCAGTCCTTGACCTCATGTTGATATACTTAAACAAAGAAATGCCTTCTTACACACATGGCATTAATAAAATCAATATTATCGGAAATTCCAGCCAAAAAGTCTTTTATTTACAATAAATGTTATTTAAAAATAAGCAAATACAATATGTTACAAGCATCCATTTCTTAAAAAAAATGAATAGTAAGCATCGACTATTGTAAAATTGTTCTAAATATTTGTAAAGATAAAACAAATAAAATGCTTCGCTAGGCGCAGCTTGATACGACCGCAGAGGTCGAACCCTGAACAGTTGGGGCAAGTATGGACACAACATTCAAGCTTGATACAGCTCTGAATTTGGATTGTGATTAAATATTTGACACAGCATAGGTTTCTGACACAGAAAGAATGTGGTCTAAGAACTTCAATTTTTTTAATTTACCTATTATGGTCCAATGTCCAAAATCAAAATACATGGTTAGATTCAGCATATCAAAGAACCCCAATAATTCAATTTTTGATGAAATCAAACAAAGTTTAATTTTGGACCCTTTTGACCTCAATATGAACCAATTTGATAGCAGGCCCACAAAATAAAAAATCTAAATACATGGTAAGATTCAGCATATCAAAGAACCCTGTATATTCAATTTTTGTTGAAATCAAACAAAGTTTAATTTTGGACCCCAATTTGGACCAAGTTGAAAACTGGGCCAAAAATCTAAAATCTAAATACATGTTTAGATTCAGCATATCAAAGAACCCCATATATTCAATTTTTGTTGAAATCAAACAAAGTTTAATTTTGGACCCCAACTTGGACAAACTTGAAAACTGGTCCCATAATCAAAAATCTAAACACATGTTTAGATTCAGCATATCAAAGAACCCCAAAAATTCAATTTTTGTTAAAATCAAACTAAGTTTAATTTTGGACCCTTTGGACCTTAATGTAGACCAATTTAAAAAACGGGACCCAAAATTAAAAATCTAAATACACGGTTAGATTTGGCATATCAAAGAACCCCAATAATTAAATTTTTGATGAAATCAAACAAAGTTTAATTTTGGACCCTTTTGACCTCAATATGAACCAATTTGATAGCGGGCCCACAAATAAAAAATCTAAA